TGAAGGAGTAGATAAGAGCTGCAGCATCTACGTCATAGAAGGAGACCAGACCCTCCTCATAATCCACAAACACCCCCACCTTCTGAGGCCGAGACTTCAGAGAGAGACTGACTGAAGGGCCAGCAAGAGCTTCGTACTTATTTCCATTTTTCAACCCTATGGTCCAGTAACCATTCTGAGGACTCAGTGCGATCTTTCCCTTCCTGTTGATCGACTCTCTGGCCACTCCTAAATCCCACTCAGTCTTTCCTTTAACTTGAACCTCAAAATAAGATTGTCCTGAAAAGAAACTCTGCTTTCCTAAAACACAAACACAATCAGAAAATCCCTCTGGGTTGTTTGGGAGTTTCTTCTTCACGTCACCAAGTTTTGCTAGTTTCCCATAATTAGACAGGATGAGTTGAGGATGTTCTGTATCAGGATCAAGAGTCACATCCACTGCAAACTTCTGGACCCTCTTCAGCTCAGCTTTAACCAGCTTCTTTATCTTTTTACTGAGCGTCTCCTCCAGCTGAACCACAGCTCTCCTCACAGTCCCCTCATATGATGCTGGATGGACACTGACCTTTGTCCAGTCCTTGGTGGGTGGTGGGTGGTGGATGTTTGAGGACTGAACACTCTGGAGAAGATGGAGGTGGTCTTCAGAGTGTGAGAGCTTCTCCACCTCAGTGCTTCTCTTTATCAGCTCAGAGATTTCCTGATTTAGCGCTCTAATGAAAGCTTCGGCCTGTTTCTCTTTTCTTTTGTGCTTCTCTTTGATCGTGTTTATGAGATTGGCCTGAGCTCTCTCAACAGACTCCTTCAGATCAGTGAAGACCTGAACACCTTCTACGATCTCTCGGTTTGCATCTTCCTCACTGAGGTTGACTGAGTGTCTGATCTCCTGAATCTTCAGTTGCCTCTTCTGGATCATCTGCTGAATTTCAGCCTCTGTCTTCCCCAGTTCGGCCATCTTTCCTTCATATTCTTCTTTCAGAGGAACAAACTCGTGCGTCTTATGATCTAAAACGGGGCAGAGCGTGCAGACACACATCTGGTCGGTCTTACAGAACAGCTCCAGAGGTTTATCGTGCTTCGTACACATCCTGTCTTCCAGGTTCTTCACAGGGTCGATCAGCTGATGTCTTTTCAGGCCTGACATTGTCAGATGAGGCTCCAGGTGAGTCTCACAGTAGGAGGCCAGACACACCAGGCAGGACTTCAGGGCCTTCAGTTTGGTTCCAGTGCAGACGTCACAGGGAACTTCTCCTGGTTTGGACTCTTGTTGCTCTGAGCTGCTGGTTTTCTGTTGAGGTGACTGTCTGAACTGATCAACCATCTCAGAGATGAAAGTGTTGACGTGCAGCTCAGGTCTTGAGATGAAAACCTTTTTACACATTGGACACATGTGCTGGTCGTTGGCATTCCAGTGTTCATTGATGCAGTTCTTGCAGAAGTTGTGTCCACATGATGTGGTGACTGGATCAGTGAACACATCCAGACAGATGGAGCACAGGAACTGATCTTCAGATGACAGATAGTTTGCAGCAGCCATATCTACACAAAGTGTGGAAGAAAAGAAAAACATTTAATTCAAAATAGTTTAATTATTTGTTTAGAAAGGAAATAAGTATGATTATTTTTATATCTTTTAAGTAAGCAACCAAGATCAAAGTCGTGCTGACAAGTTCAAGCTTGCTACTCTCACAAAGCAGCACAGAATAAGTCTAATTTGTGTTGAAGAACAGCACTGCTAACACGTTTAGTTTTGAATATTTGTTTGAATAGAAACCAGTGTGATTACCGTTCTTATAAGTATAACACAAGATATTAGAAATGTTGTAATCATATACTGTATAATGTGTTTGGACCGAGCCGTGAGAAACAGAGATCATTCAAAACGTGTTTATTAGATCGCTGCTCTCGCAAAACAGTCCAGAATATCTCCACTTCCTGTTGTGTAGACGGCATTTTGTTACATTCTAGCAGTTTACCTGATGACAAACGCATCACATTTCAAAAGCTGCTTCACATTAAGAGCCTCCCACTGGTTCTCTGGTGGAAGGCTTTTAATGTGAAAGAGCTAGAGGAAGCAGATGAAGCAGAATGTAGGAAGCGATCAGTGAACAGTAATAACAGCAGGAAAGTAGCAGTGAGACTAAAGTTCAAACCACAGAGATTCAGCTACAAGTTGCTAAAGTCCTGAGACTGTTCAAAGCTGTTAAAGTGAGTTACTGTATAGTGGGACTGTGGACAAACAGACAGTTATATTGTGAACAATTGATCAAGTCTGAAGTGAAAAGAGTGGAACTTCCTGCCTGAGTGAAGTTCCAGTTTTGTGTTAATCCTGGTTGTTGAAAGTGTAAATATGATCCGCTGTACTCACCAGTGTTTGGAAGAGACTCTGCTGTGTTGTTGAGAAAGACCTGATGAAGTCACTTTCGTTTCTGGAGTGTGACGTTGCAGCTCTTCTCTTCACAGTGTAGCTCCGCCTCTTAACTGGTGAGGTTTTCTTTACTTCCTCTGATTTACACGGAAATTGTCGGGGGAAACAAAATGAATGTGGCGCAAAGGTGGTGCTTCACAGTGTGATTCTCAACTGGTGGGTCGAGAACCAGGACCCGTTTTCAGTGGGTCGCGGGCCCTTGCCTGACAAAAAAAAAAAAAAAAAGAAAGTTGTGATTTTATTTTGAAGGGGATTTTTCCAGCATTTACGGCACTTGTTCAGCGGTGCAGGAAAAACACCGACCAATGCGTTGTGAATTACATCACGTGATGCAGCTCAGCCAATCAAATATGGGCATTCTGACAAGTTTCCTGATTGAGTGAGATGTACGCACACCGTGACACACGGGGGAGAGACGATATAGATAGCAGAGCAGGACTGTTGAAGTGTGAGTTGTGATAGTTAAATCACGACCTCCAAAAGGGAAAAATGTCCAGAGAGACCAGAGTCATTAGACTCTGACTGGACAGACTCATATAAGTGAATTCTTCCCACACTCATTTCTCTTTTTAGAAGATGAGAAAAATATAATATTATGGCTTTACACTTCACCCTGAATGAACTGAATTTAAAGCTGCAGGGCATTTCAGTGAAATACATTTTTCTAAAATGAATTCTGTTATGTAATGTATTCTTTAATCCAGCGTTATTTTACTTGAAATGAGAAGATCATTTATTTATGTATAATTTATAATCCATCCAGTTAAATTTGAAAACTGAGAATAATAATTGTTAAAATATAATTGATGTGTACTTTCTTTATTTGATTTGACAGTTGTTTACTACACAGAGACGTTACTACTACTAGACTTCTTGAATATATATTCATATATATATATATATATATATATATATCAGACGGGGACTGACAGGAACAATTTCTCTGCACAAGAGAGCTCCCTACTATATGACTGCAGAGGACATTTTCAGCTCAGGTTCAAACTGCACCATCTTTTCATTAAATACATTTCAGAAGTTGAAAATTTGGGTTGCGGCTTGTCATTAAGGGGTGATAGTGGGTCCATATATATATATATATATATATATATACATACATATATATTTATATATTGTATAGGTGTGACATCACAGCAGTACCGAAGTTTTGACGGCTCGTTTAAAGGCATAGTTTCTGAACTCGGGCTGTGTATTTCTCCATGAAAAGATGTGAAAATCTCACTTTTTAAAACAGGGATTTAAGGATTCAGGGATTCTAGGATCATTTATTGTCATTATGCAACACAGGGATGCTCAACGAAATGCAGTTGTAGCCCGTGTACAAGATAAGAAAAAAATAACAGTAGTGCATCAGGAGTACTACTTTTCATAATAAGGGACCTTTAAGATGGAATTTAAGAACATTTGTAGACTTCAGCTGCCTCCACTAATCATAACTCAATGAGCCAGTCACTTTGCATGTGTTTTTTTTTGTGTGTGTGTTTTTTTCCCAAATGGCATTCATCTGATTTTGAAGTGAGCTTGTTTTCAGCAGCAGCATCAGTGCGCTCACATCACAGTGTGTATATACTGTCGGCCCAGCGGGACGGGACGCGCTAATCCCTCCTTTGGGGGAAACGTTGGAGGAAGAGGAGAGCTGCTGCTGACAGCTTCACAAACAACCCCCGCTGTCGTCTGCTGCACGGACCCGGCCTGTAGCTGCACTCTGAACACACACTTATAACTGATGTCTAATGTCTTTCTGAGATTTACTGCTGCTCTGACACTCTCATGTTTAGTCATGATGATCGTAATGGATCTTTAGACCAAACCCCCTCATGATTTTAGGCCCGTTCATAAATATGTATTCCTGCAACGCACACAGCTGTGTCAGGTCAAGGCAATTTTATTGATATAACCCAAAAATCCAAGTAAGTACAATTTTGAGGTACTTTACTTTGCATATTCTGCTACTTTATACTTCTTCTCCACAACATTTTAGAAGCAAATATTGTACTTGAGAGTATTAGCATCAAAATATACTTAAAGTATCAAAGTAAAAGTACCTACCACGCAGAAAATCACATTTCAGATTTATGCAAGATATGACTTGAGCCTTTGTTTCACATTTATTCTAATTACTTTATATACAGCTGTTTAGTTTAACCTATAATTATATCATATAGCAGGATGTAAAAGTTGATTTATATTTTATATTAATAATCTCAATCTGCAAAGTAATTTAAATAATCAAGTAAATGTAGTGGAGTTGAAGTATGTATAAGGTAGTATAAAATGGAAATATTCATGTAAAGTAGGCCTCAAGCACCTTGAATGTGTATTGAAGTAGCTTATAGTAAATGTACTTAGTTACATTACACCACTGATATTGATTAATTAGTTATTTCATTAATTGATACAACTGTTTTAACAACTTTTTAATGTTAAAAATAAACCACGGCTAGACTAGTGGTTTAGATGCAATTCTGTGAGCGGAATATCCGAGCAACTTTGTTGCTCTTGAACGCACCCTCGAAAGGAACCCTGGGAAAGACAAGATGGCGGGACGTTCAAAAACACTGCCGACTGGCCGAATTTACAACCAAATAAACTGTAAATAAACAAAGCACAACTCCGCGTTGTAAACCGCAAGCAAGTCGACCGACACACACCGGCACTGGCCGGTAAACCATGAACCGGAGCCGCAGGACGGTTGACGCTCCGGTCGGTCCGACGGGCTCCCCGCTGCACACGGCCCCATCAAAACCAAACCGACTGAGGAGAAGCTTCAGGCAGACTGAGGATGTGGACTCTCCAACGGGTAACGTTACAAGGCCCGACGACGTCCCGCCAGACTACACGGAAATATTCCGCTTTTTTTGGGGTTTATTGTACATGCGAGAGATAACTTGCGTCACACAACGTGACTAAATGCATTGTTTACAAAGCAACGGTTTCAGTCTTCAATTCGGCTTATAACAAGATTCACCACAGTTACAGTCATGACTGTAAAATATGAACTAATAAATGATTTGCCTCTTTATTTCCGTGTCACGTGACATTGGAAAGCCGTGTGAAATAAAGTGTAGCGCTGAATTCATACATTTTTATTCGTTTAAACATAGTAACATGAAACATAGGCACAACAATTAGGTTAGTCAGACAAAAAAATAAATAATACTGATAAAAATAAATAAATAAGAATATTAAAAGAACAGCAGATAAAAATAAACAATAATAAAATACGTCTTCCATGCTAACACAACTATATTCAATTTCCAGACTTTTTAATTTCCAGTGTCCTACTGAAGTGTCCTTGAGCAAGACACCGAATCCTTACCGACCTCTCTGAGTGCATAAATACTCTTTAACGGAAGTCAAATACACTGAGCAGCCAATGTTGTTGTTTGTTAATCTGAATCTGTTATTCGTATTTTTCTTCTCCTGGATCTCCTGCAGAATTTAAGACCCCGACCAGGATCCCCAGATCCAGATCCAGAGCCGGAGGTGGTTTCAGTGTTGAGTCTCCAAACAACGACTGTGACTTTCAGCAGGACATCATCTGGGACGCCACCTCGCCTTCACCCAACAGACACGGTAAACCTCAATGCAATTGTGATGTGGATATTTAAAGGGTTGCTCTCCAGAAAGTTGAATGAACTTCATGTGTTGCAGTTAATCAGTTAGCCATCATTTTGATTTACTTTAGGAAACAGAAAAGGCAAACATCTGATGTTTCCAACCACATTTCTTTGTTTTCTATCAACAATTTTGGAATAATTACTGTTGGAGGTTTGTTTTTTGGATATAAATAGCTGTATCTAGAGCTGCGTGGTGACTCTGTATGTCTTTGCAGGAAAAAGAGGCAAGAATCAGAAGCCTCCTGTAGTTGTGGACATCTCAGAAATAGTTAGCAGGATCGCTCCAAAGGTCAGTAACACGGCTGGTGAGATTAAATATCACCCCCCAAGAACATTTCTATTCTTGGACATGCTTTGTAAAGGGTTAATAGTGTCTTCACTGTTCATGACTATGCTCTGCAGAGTCAATAACCTGCGTTTGTTTACAGTGTGTTGTGTTGTTTGTTGTGTCTCTGAAAGCACGGCAGGCCGACGGTTGCGGAGCCGACTTTACAGCAGTGGATCGGAGACAGCGCCACCATTCCCTGCACGCCCGATGTTCGAGTTCCCAGACCCAAGAAGAAATCCCCGCGGTAGGTTCAGAAGAGGCAACGGATACCAATCTGTTTCCTCTTGACCGTAACGAAGCTTCATCCTCATCTTCATCCTCTCATTAGAAGCCTACAGGCTGAATATAGCTTTAACTTCACACTGTGACTTCACTGAGTGTGTTTACACGGGCGTTAGTATCCTGGTCGTGATCAGGTTTCTAGAATATTTACTCATATTTACTGTTTTACTGCGGTTAGCAGCCAACAGCGCAAACAACGGTAACAGTGCTGACAGAACATCTCTCCGTGTCATCCCAGTAAACCGATGGTTCTGTTTCTCCACAGGCCAAACGGAGTGGACGACCTGCTGAAGCTCGCCAAACAGTTCGACTTCAACATGTTTCGTCAGGATGAAGAAGACGTGGAGAACCTGCACCGGCAGAGTCTGGAGCTCCTGTCGGAGGACATCTTGGATTTGGAGAACGATGATCAAAACAACGTTTCACTGTCGCTTCCCGTGAATTATCAACCGGCCGTGAAGGCGGACGAGCAGCTCCCCCTGGATCAACATATGGAGGACGATTTGGATTTCCTGTTTGACGGACCGACCCAGCGCTTAAGCGGAAATGTGAGTCAGGTTTCGTCAGCTCTGCCGTCACAAGTTAAACCTGCTCCCAAAGAGGCTTCTGGGAAACCGCCCGCTTCCTCACACGGTCCCACTTCTGGTGTCTCCACGACGAACGCTAAAGTCACTTCAGCGAAAGACGAGTTTGAGGACGACTGGGAAAACGATGACTTGCTGAACGACTCGTTAGTGTTGGAGATGACACAGAATCCACAGAAGTTCACCGATCCACAGCACTGTTCAACCCAGAAACCACCCAGTCAAATACACAATCACAGGGAAAGTCCAGCAAACGTAGTCCAGTCTGTTTCTAAAGGGGAAAAGGACAACGTGAGACAAAGAACGACGTTCAAACTGGACTCTAATCCTAGTTTTTCTTTCAACAGAATCCAGACGCACTCAGAAACAGTTAGAGACTCTCAGCAGAGCAGGTTTCCTTCTGGTCACAGTGTTTCAGTCGAGGCGGGATCTCGGCGTACCGGGCAAACATCAAACCCGGCGAAGTCCGATCCACAGAAACCACCGTTTCATCAAAGGACTTCTGTTGCCAAATACAACGCGACAGCATCGAACACATCAGCGTCAAAAAACGCCCAAAGCTTTCCAGTGAAACCTGCGACCGTGTCGTCCCGCGGCGAGGCGCCTGCTGTCTCCGAGGACCCGTCCCCGCTCTTCTCCTCTGACCCGGTTTGGGACGACCCCGCCGACGACGACCTGCTGTGTGAAATGTGCGAAGACGTGGAGAACCGGCTCCACGGCGCGGAGAATTTGTCCGCCAAGCAGACTCCCCCCGGGAGTCACATGTCAAACCAGAGAGCTTCTTCGCCGCTGGCCAACAGGAACCGACTGCCGGCCGGTCGGCAGACTTTTGACCCCAAAAAACAAACGCCCGCAAGTCTTCCCTGTGCTTCAGGAAGACCGGCTGGCAGTTCGTTGACCGGTAGTTCCGTCTCTAACATCGCTGCAGGTGTACAGATGACGGATTCTTTCAGATACACACAAACGAAAAACCCTTCCGCCTCCACGAACGGCTCGACGTGGACGCGGGGGAGCAGCCGGGTCCAGTCGGCACCGCGGGGAAACCCCGGCAAAGACCAGTTCACCTTCAGGAAGCCAGACAAGCCGGTTTCTACAGTGACCAGCAAAGGTAAGAGCCCGTTCCTGCTCCAGTAGTCTGTAATGTCACAGCAGCACAGATAACATCAGAGACGTTTCTACCATAAATAACACCTATATTTTCATTTTATTCACATCATTTCCAGTTAATTCCAACAAATTCCTGATCATTTTCATGGAAAGTTAGTCGCCATGTTGAGAGCCGTGTGGAGGCAACAGGGACGCTCTGAGTTCTGTATTGATCATCCTAAAGGGAACCTGCTCTGTACCTTTTTTAACCCCCTTTTCATTTGTCGTCTTTTAGATATTGTTTTAATCGTCTTCGTGAACAACCCTCAAATTTTGCTCATCCAGTAGTGTTTGTGTTTTTCTGCAGTTGTGGGTTCGTGTTCAGCAGCAGAGATCGAGCAGAAGAAGCAGCAGGCGATGGAGAGAAGACGACAGCGACTGCAGGCCGCCCAACACCACCGAGCTCCCACCTGACGGAGTGAACCGGCCTTGTGTCGCCTCACAAACCTGTCTCACCTCGCCTGTCTCACCTCGCCTGTCTCACCTCGCCTGTCTCACCTCACCTGTCTCACCTCACCTGTCTCACCTCGCCTGCCTGGAGAGTAAAACAGACTACAAAACTGCTGGCAGAGCTCCACCTGTTCAGCGCTGCTGTTAGCTGTTAGCTCTGTTTGTTAGCAGAATACATTTCTGATGACTTTGTCAGATGTTTCGCCAACATTTGTCGTACAAATATATAAAGATTATACTGTACACGTGCTGTAATTTGATGTTTATGTCGTATTTCTAATTTCTTTTTTAGAGGGGGATTAGGTGTGTGTGTGTGTGTGTGTGTGTGTGTGTGTGTGTTGACAAGTACAGAGTTGCAGTCAGGACGTACTTAGCCTAGCTTAGCGTAAAGACTGTAAGCAGAGGGAAACAGCTAGCATGGCTCTGTCTAAAATACATCTAGCAACACCTCAAAAGCTCACTGAGGCGAGGCTAGCAGTTTCCCCCTGCTTCCATTCTTTAAGCTAAGCTAGGCTAACCACGTCCTGACTCCAGGTCTGTACTCACTCAACACAGACACAAGATTGGTATCGAAACGCATGGAAAGAAAAGCAGTTAAGTTGAACTTTTTCCTTTTTAAGGACAGATTATACTACAACAGTTTGGGGGGTAATTTGTACTGAGGAGATGGCTAACAGTTTAGTTCATGCTAGCACTTTCCCCCTGCTTGCAGTCTTTATGCTAAGCTAGGCTAACCACATACCGAACGGCTCATGTAAGACATTCTTATTGTCAAATTTATTTCTCGTTTCTTTTTTGATCATGAACACGAGGAGTCACTTTTCTAACCCGTATGTCTACGTCTGTTTTTCTAGTTTATTCACTTTATTTTCTGTGAAGCACTTTAACTGATTGGAAAGTGTTTCCCCAATAAAAGTTTTATTGTTGATTTCATCTTTGGTTGTGGTGTTTTTTATTATTAGTCATGTGATCCAGAGAGGCACCGTGAAGAGCCTCAGATCAGTTTGGTTCAGGTCTTAGCCTTTTTACTATTATTATTATGCTGCATTCACGTCCTCTTCACCGACCCGTCTGTCCAAGTTCCAACTTCCAGAGAGAACCGATCAGTCTGTCGCGTAAATCATTAAATTAACAGATAGTATTTGTTTGTATTTTCACCACCTGCAAATGTGAAAGTAATCAATGACAGTGCTGTCAGACAGCAAAATAAAATAGAAAATACTAGAAAATAAATACAGTTTCAGTACAGTTACTGTGCAATGATAAGTTGCTCCACATTTGATCAGTGTTGGAATAGGCTGTGTACTTAAGTAAAAGTACTACGATGTACTCTGTTCCAAGTAAAAGTCCTGTATTAAAAATCCTACTCAAGTGAAAGTACAGAGTATCAAAAATAGAACGCCCCTGTTAGTGTTG